GATTGAAATGATACATGAACACTGGGGGCTTGAATGTGTGATGAGAAAAGAAAGTAAAAAGGCTTGGAAAAGCAGCAGAATATTTGAACTGCAAACTTCTGAACTAACTTGATGGCGAATGATCTGTCGCTATGGCAACGGCATTTGATGACACCCCATAATACGCTTAGATGCGTTGATGGCTGCATCGTTACCAAACCTGTGAATGTTTGGAGTATTTTCACTGAAGTTATGAGAAAGCGGTGTTTCATGGCGAGCATTGTGTTGCCATGGTAACGGCATTTGAAGAAATCTCAAAACTGTCCCGTAGATGTCTTCACGGCTGGACTGTTAGCACACTGCTATCTGAAGTCTGCTGCTCTGAGCATGTCAGTTGGAGTGATGACATCATCGTGTTCCATTACACAGGTGTTTATATTTGAACTAACGAGCTCTGTAGAGATCACAGGTTTCCATTGTTCTGAATGAGAGATGAACCTCTTACATGTGAACGTTTTGTGGAGGAACCGTAACAGATATCTGTGAAATTTCAAAACGTGAAGCATGTCAAGGAAGTTGAGTATCTGTAAGAAGTGTAATTTTTGTGTAGTTTCGGGTTAATAATGTGGCCTTTTTGGCAGTTTAACTAAAGGTGTGCGGCTGCTGGCGTGAGGAAATATCTGCCTGAAATTACAATGGGCTTTAATGGAGGAATGTTGAACGTTTTTGTCACTTCATGCCCTCAAGAGGCATTTTGTTTAATTATTTGTCATTTTTCAAGCTACGAGATGTTTTCCTACGTTTGTTATGAAAAATTATGTCTCAGGAATGTAGGGTTTGGGAATTATGGCAGTTTTAAAAAAATATATGAAGGTACATTTAAGATTTTCTACCCTCTAGCTGTGACATCACGCACTCTAGTTAATGTTAAAATCTGAAGAAAACCTCTAAAACAAGGTCTGAACAATGTTTAATATCTCTAAAAGTAAGAATCAGATTTAAAAGTTGTGTTACACGAATAATGTCAGAAAGATGTGTAACATTTTAAAGTTAGAATGAGGTTTCTGAGTGAAAGTATGAATGAACAGTTAGCAGTTGAAGTCGCATAAAGATTTGTTGAAGTTGAAGAATTTCTCCATTGACTTCAATGGTTAAAAATGTGATGTATTATGGGATGTATCTCTGGAATTATGAAAGTTATGAATGAGAAAAGTAATAGCCATCGATTCCCGACCGAGCTGAACGTTTTGATATTTGAACGGAGTTTCTGTGATGTTCAATGCGGGAGGAGAAGAGGGCCAAAATAAGTCGGCGGAATAATAATAATAAACTTTTCGTCCGTAGAATAAACTAGAGAATGCAATTCCTGAAGAAATTGCTAGTGGGAATGCTTTATGCTGAAATGTAATGTGTAAGAAGAAAGTGAATAATTTAGATTGAAATACAAGAACACTGGGGGCTTGAATGTTGGATGAGAGAAGAAAAGAAAGTAAAAAGGCTTGGAAAAGCAGCAGAATATTTGAACTGCTAACTTTTGAACTAACTTGATGGTGAATGATCTGTCGCCATGCCAACGGCATTTGATGACATCCCATAATACGCTTAGATGCGTTGATGGCTGCATCGTTACCAAACCTGTGAAGTTTTGGGGCGTTTGAAGCAGTTTCACTGAAGTTATGAGAAAGCTGTGTGTCACGGCGAGCATTGTGTTGCGGGAGGAGAAGAGGGCCAAAATAAGTCGGCGGAATAATAATAATAAACTTTTCGTGCGTAGAATAACAGTTAGTTGGAATGCTGTTAACACTGGCATTTAACTTCAACATTTAAAAAAAAAATCTTCCCGGGGGTGCATGCCCCCGGACCCCCCTAGAGGATATGAGGTCCACCCCAAAATTAAGCAGGTTAAAATAATTAAATTGCATACATTTTCTTTTGTCCCACAGACCCAAACAGCACAAAGGTTAAAGGTCAGCATATAATAATGTTAAAGTAGTAAACGTAGCTCACGACTTGTTTTATTTTTTGAAGGTAGCTCTCATCCTAAAAAAGTATGGGATTAGTTTTGTATCATAAAGATAAAGCAAAACTATGAGTTTAAAAGAAAAAAGAACTGAGTCAAGCAAAATTAAATACATTTCAAAAATAAAACTATAAGTTGCAAACAAATCATTTGTGTAAACTATAAGTCTTTTTTCTTTGTTTTAACTTAGGTTTTTGTTTGCAGTTCTTGTTTCTTCTTTCTCAATGATCAGACTTTTGCTCTCGCTGCAGCTCTTCTCCTTTGCGCTCCCTCATTTTTTGTTTGAGATTTTGACACAAACGTCCCAGGTGGGCGGGACTTTCAGGGGTGCGTCCCCATTGGCTACTCAGGAGGCACCGACACTAACGTGCTGTGCATTATACTTGTGTTGTGTAGTTTATACTTTATTCCAACTTTAAATATGTTAATACCTGAACACACTGCTGCTGTTCAATAATTTCCCAATTTGGGATTGATAAAGTGTCTGTCTATTTATTTTATGGATAAAAAAAACACATCTATGTATTTTCAAGCTAAAGGTGATACACTATATAAACTGTATACTATTATTTTTTCAAGACATGTTACATTTCAAAAGCATATATTGCTATGTTTAGGACAAACAATTAAAGACTGATTTAATTTAACAAATTCTACAATATAACAGTGGCAGATTTGTTTTATTAAACAGAGCAGACCTAGGCTGCATACCAACACAATTAGGAACATGCTCACATCTTACTATGTTGGTCTGAAGAGCTGAAGCATTCATACACAATGGATACAAACTGTGTTGTCTCATTCTATATCCTGTGAGAAAATGATATACATTTAGCATTAACAACTCAACATACTATTCCTAGCCTGAGGAACATATGAATAATCAACAGATTTGAATGGAATCTCTAACATGTTCATGTAGAATAAAGACAAAAGAGCTATTATACAAATTACATTTATTGAAATTTGAACCAGAAGATGAAGTCTCAAAGAATGTTCTAAATAAAAGGACATACAACTAAAAGGTAGATAATAATAAAATGTATTAAATGTATATGTAAAGACATTTGGTCAAATGAAATGACACGCCCAGCGTGGATGAAGATGGTGCAGGTCTCTCTTCATGCCCCCCCTCCGTGCTGTCCCCTCAGAGGAAGTGGGAAAACGGGATAAGACCTCTGGACACCACGCTGTCTCAATGATCCACAGTTAATATGAGAGGAAAATAAATGTTTTAGGAAATGAAAAATATGAAGTTAACAAATCAAACACAGCTCAGCGGCAGTCATGGACGGTAGGTTTTCCTACAAAGTTAACTCAGCCTCCATTGATTTTCATATCAAATGAGCGTGTTAATAAAATAAGCTATCATGGCTTATACTTGCATATCTAAACAGAATCATGAAAGCCTGTTGGTAGAGTCAGGAGTCCGTTTGAGTGTGTGCGCCGGTGTCTGAACGCTCACTCACTGCTAGCTATGTAGCTAACTGTTAGGTACGGTGACCCTGAAGTGCAAGACACCACAGCATTTCACAAAGGGCGTATCTCCATGTAAATCCTATGGGCGATACCAACTACAACAAAATGAACATATTTGACCGTAATTTAATTGTAATACACGTTTCAAAGTGATGCCGAAGTAACTACATACTGATAACGGTTAGTAAAAACCATAAATTAACGCTTTAACAAGTCTGCAGACAGACGGCAGGCGAAAAGCTTTTAAAATGCGTGTTTTATGAATGGAATCGGATCCATCAGGCTAAACTAACCTGTAGCTGCTCCGTCCACACTCACAACAACGTCATACAGACATAAATAAAGCAGCGACTGTATTCACCATGACATAGACAGTCTGTGGTTTGTACATGTTTAACTTTTGTCCAGTTTCTGAACAGATATGAGGAGCTGTGAGCTCTGAGTGTGTGCTAACGGCTGATGTGTTGGGACACATTTCGCTGTCGGGTGTTGACCAATCATGAAGCGTCATTTCTTGACTGGCAGCAAAAACAACTAATCACAGCTTCTCTGGCTGGCTCCGTCCAATCACAAACAAGAAGTGTTCTCCCTAAAGGAATACCCTTTCCGTCCAATGTGAAATGCTGTGGCGTTTTGTGAAATGCTGTGGTGTCTTGCACTTCAGGGCCACCGTAGTTAGGCTACTTAGCTTGCATTGTTATGGATCTAAAGGTAGCAAAAGCTAACTTTCATAGCACAGCTTTACTTCTCACAATAAAGAAACAGACCGTATAGTACAGCACAAACAACACAAATGATCAATACTTACATATATTTTCACTTGTATTATAATAATTGAAATGCTGGTCCTTCTGCGGGTGTTCTGTCCACGCTCAGCTACCGCACCGCAGCTGCCTGCACTGTACAATCGCTGGAGGACTGGGCTGTCACTCAAAAACTGAGTAGCCAATGGGGACGCACCCCTGAAAGTCCCGCCCACCTGGGATGTTTGTGTCAAAATCTCAAACTAAAAATGAGGGAACGCAAACGAGAAGAGCTGCAGCGAGAGCAAAAGTCTGATCATTGAGAAAGAAGAAACAAGAACTGCAAACAAAAACCTTTGTTAAAACAAATAAAAAATACTTATAGTTTACATGATTACACAAATGATTTGTTTGCAACTTATAGTTTTATTTTTGAAATGTATTTCATTTTGCTTGACTCAGTTTTTTTTTCTTTTAAACTCATAGTTTTGCTTTATTCTGAGAAAGTGTTGCTTTATCTTTGATACAAAACTAATCCCATAAAAAAGGTTGGTTACCCCTGGGTTAGCGCTAGGCTATCTCCATAGAAACGAAACGCCAGCGCAGAACCATGTCATGTGAATGTAGCATAAGTATTATAAAAATCTGCACAGCGTTTTTGCTTCTGACAGACGTTCATACATGAAGATATAAAGCTGGACTTCCTGAATCATATTTTATACGTTCTGTATTTTTTACGTATATTTGTAATGACCTTTTTTTCTGTTTCCTTTTTGCAGGCAAATGAAAATCTCAACATTGAATCCAAATGCAAAAGAATTTCAACCCATAAAAGTGAATATAGTCCAGGTTAGTTTGTAACACACACAGAACCACTCACATTTATATTTTAATCAAATGTTTAATATTTTCCTAACAATATTTCTTTCTTGGTGTTGTGACAGAAGCCTGCACCGACCCCCACCCCTCCTCGGCCAACCCCTCCCAGCCCCCTCTCTGATTCTGGCCCCCCAAGGACAGCCAGGGGGAGGCGCCATCTACAACACCCCCCCGGGACACTACCTGTCCTACATGTCCCCCCTGCACATCCAAGGACACCAGATCCAGGTCAGAACCCTCCTTTAGTGTCATATAAAAAACATCAGTGTTCATTTTATAATAGTGACCGTCTCACTGCAGGTAATCCCACGTATTACATGGATACAACATATTGATTTAAAAAGGATTTAATGAAGATTGTAGATTGTATTCCTTTCGCTAAGAGAAATGGTCTGTCAGAATTTACTGCGTAGCTCTGTGATTGAGCAAGTTTAGCAATTTCTACTTTAGTAAACTTTGAAAAATGTCATCGTCTCCCAGCACTCATGCTGTGTAACTGTCTGAGCTCTTCCCTTACATTCTGCCCGGCAACTGTCCAACATTTTATTTTCCATTAACCAGTCTGTAAACACTGCCAGAGCACATAGCGTGTTCCCTTTGATGTTTACTTCCTGTCTGCCTTGTTCTGCTGATGTATCTGACGTCCAGTTCTGTCTTTAAACCTTTTTACTTCTCTTGTTTGCTTTTTCTTGTTCTCTTTTTCTTTCTTTTCTAGGTACAGCTTAACCAATATTAATCCAAATGTGTGTGATCTCTAGATTCATACAAATTAATATTTCAAAGTATTCCATGTTGTTTTCTGATGGTGTAACAAATACAAATGTTTTTTTTTGCCACAACTGACATTGTTAATTTGACCGGACTTCTTTCTGTGGATTGATATGATTGTGTGATCAAAGCGTCCTTAGCAGCGGTCTGTTATACACAAATAACAGACCCATCAGAACTAAGTACTCCCTGAGCCTTGTGATTTCTCATTAGTCAGGATGCAGCAGTGATTCATTTCAGAGGATACTTTTAACTGATGTGATTTCAAATGTGTCCTCCTCTCCTCCTCAGGCTCCTCAGATGTATCAGTACACCATCAACCAGGGCAAATACCCCAGAGCCAAAGGTAAAAACTGCACCCGTGAATCCATTGTATTACTAATGATTGTATACATAGTGTACAAAATGCTGACTAATGAGTACAATTATGCTGACATGCAGTGGCGGTTCTACGGGGTGGCACGACCCTAGTTGCCACCCCAGTTGGCAGCTTTGTTTTGAAAGAAAAGTTGTGGCTCATATGGACATTTATTGAGAGGAAAATCTCAATGTCCTGAAGTGCAAGTGTAATGCCAGCACAGCTGCAAGCCTCTTGGTACCCCCTTACCTGGCACGAGCGTGGAAATATGATTAGCGGCGATTTCATTTGAACGTGGGGACAGCGCAAAACGAGAAGCATTTCGGATCCAAGTAGACGGAAGGAATGAGGTATTTGCGGTCAGTGGCAGCGCCAGGGTATGGCTGGGGTAGGCTACAGCCATACCAAGAAATACCTTAGCCCCACCATGAAAAATGATGTCAAAGTAAGCAAAATAAAGTCCGCCAACTCGTGCCGAGTAAATTGCACAGACAGCAGTTAGTCAGATTGATTTCAGCAGCCACTTGTCTGGAAATACCGAAGACTAGAAACGGTTTTGAAAACTTTTGTCACGTAGTGATCGTCTTCTCAATAGAACATCTTTGATAATGTCTTCTGGCCAATCAGAATCAAGATAACGGCGTGGTGTTGTTGCAGGAAGTCCCGACGGAGAATACTTTTGCGGCAGTACATCTCTATATACATCGATACAACATTACGTGTTGATAGAAATCAACACATAATGAAATGAGACCCCACGGTTTGATGATTGATAGGTGTGTGGGCTGTCTTTCATTTTGACACACAGAACAATGGGGGCTATCCACCCTTATCCACAATGTAAAGTCATTCACAGCCTCTTCCCTCTTCTCTCTGTGAGGAGCAGCAGGTTCAGCTTTCAGAACAAAGTAACAAAAAACTAAAATGGCATTCATTTTTTTAAATATGTCGTGCAGTAATAGATGTATTTATTTTTCTTCTCAAGAGAGTACTAGAATGTGTATTTTATGTTAGTATTTCAAAAAATCTCCTGGGGGAGAATCCCCCCAGACCTGCAGGGGTTGGGTTTTCAGCATGTCAACTCTTTCACCTGTGGGGAAATTGCAGGATTGGCTCCAGGTCACCCTTTTTATTTACTACAAGACAAATGTGCCTTTTTATTTCATACAGTTCAATTTGGATTGAGACAGGAAAATAATCTAACCCTCACGCGTGGCAATTTCATTGCAAATACTGACTTGAGCCCCACCACTGTATGGGTTAGCCCTACCATAGATTACCCAACAGAAATACTCTGGAGCCGCCACTGTTTGCGGTCTACAATGACAGAGAAGAGCCTGTCAAGTTTGGCTGTACTCAGCATTGAATCAAAACGCACCATAGCTTTAAATCGTTTGTGAGGCGTTTTGCTGATCAAGCTGGTAATCGCCACATTCAACTTGATGCTCTGCTCACGGATGAGTCGATGAGAATAATAAGCTGTTAAGATGTTGACCTTACGTGTGTATAAAATGTTTCTTCTTTGAGGAGGTCTGCCCCCAAAAAACTGTTTCAAATCCTGAGAAAGTCAAATAAGACGGTGTGTAAAACTACACTGCCCAGCCAACAGAAAGTAACCACTTTGATTTAACTAGGCCAGTAGGTAAGGACTTTCCACTGGATAATAACTGCAGCGATGTTTATGTTTTAGCTGAATACACGTTTTTTTAACCCTAACTGATGCAGTTAGTCACTTCTTTAATGATTGTTCTTTCTGATGTAAAGTCAAGGTTGTAACTGTTTGCAATGAAGTTGTGGGCCGCTGAACTGTTCCTTTGATTCTTTTGATTTATGATAGTAATTACTTGTCTTTCAAATTTGAAGGAGGGTGAGCAAGCATTTTGAGGAACATTCATCATTAACTCCTCCAAAAAATATAGTTTATTTAATAATAACACTGAATATGTGAATCATAACAGTGATTGACAGCTGATAGGATTAATATGATTGTTAATAGTATCATATTAATTTAGACCAGGGGTCGGCAACCCCTGGCACGCGTGCACACTAGGAATAAGTGGAATAAGTGTGCAAAATATTTAAATTGTATTTTGGGATCCTGAACGAGACCGCCGCCAGAGCGCGTCTCCCCGTTACCTGCAGAAGGAAGCCATACACGCAACGCAGCCCCGCTCTCTTTATCTCCAGACGACTTTCTGCCGCTTTCCTCCGTGGTGCAGTGCTGATCGTTTCACCAGAGAGGAAAGCACTTCACAAATTGCAGTAACCATAAGGAGCTGTACAAATGCCGCAGTTTTTGCGTGGCTGTGTCTTTAGTTGAAAGCCCAGTGGCGATCTGCTCATCTCTCATTGAAATAATATGCTACAAAGGGGCGGACTGGCCATCTGTGTGTTGAACTTTCCTGTCGGCTCCCAGACCGTAGTCGAGGAAACAGGGGTGACTCTCTTCGTCTCCCAGGGCAGAAGCAACAAGCTTCAGGTTCAATAACCCACTTTAGCTTAAATGACTGGAGAGAGGCGAGCTCTTCTTGGGAGGCCGTTGCATTTATTTATTTGTTCTTCTGTTTCACAAAATACATCACAGACCTCAGTTTTTCTGCTTCCTCATTTCACTTCCAGAAACATACACATGCTAGCTCACTCTCGCTCTACCATCAACACATGCACAAGCCACACCCCTCTCTCTCTCTTAAAGGGACAGCGATCTCATCTCACTCTGCATGACCCTAATATCATAACATGTGTGTTCTGGAGAATCACAGAACGGACGATCGTCCTTATTATTATGCCGTTTAAACCAATTATTTAAATGTGTTTGTTAAATTCGGCATCATGTAAGTTGCGCTGACAGGTCCACTCACTGCTTCCCCGCAGCGAGGCTCCCCCGCCCTCCTGCTGAGTTGACGAGCGTCAAGCTCCTCAACCTGTTGATACCCGTTGATAATTCTCGATCGTTGGCACGCTGATAATTTTTTTTTTTTTAAATTGCACTTCATATCAAAAAAGTTGCCGACCCCTGATTTAGACAAACATCGACGAGACAGTTAATTAATGTACTTATTGCAGCAGTCTGCATAGATTTGGTACCCCTGCTGGTCTAAGAGTGAAACAAACTCATTCAGTTATTGTTCAGTTAAGTCTGCCACCTTTATATTTAAGGCTTTACTGAGCCTTTGCAGTTTGTATGTTGGGTTAGATGTCTGAAATAGACTGTGGTTAACCTAAGTTTAAGAGATTTTACCATTTTGTTCTACGACATCATTAATGTCAGTAATTAGCCGATTGGGGAATTTTGAAGCTTTTATGTGTCTTTAAAATTGGCGGTTGTTAACAAGTGTCTAAATGAAACCTCCTTAAGGCCTCACTGCAATTAGCCTTAGCGGTGGTGAAGTGAAACCATGTGTAGTTTGTTTACAGCCTAATAGCTATTTAATACAACAATCTTAAAAGTGGTGTTGGAATGAGAAGAAGAAAATTGGTTTATATAAGAAACGTCCTCAAAGGAAGTAAGATCAAGTCTAATAATAGGAATAACTTATTTATAATATATTCTTGACAGTACTGTGACTCGTAGCTACGAGCTGAAGCGCTGAGCGTGTGTTGTTCTGTTCTCAGGCCCGGTGGTGGGCCAGCGTCCGGAGCACCATCCCTCCTCCACCTCCCCCATGATCTCCGCTGCAGCCTCAGCAGCAGGACCCCCACTGGTGGCCTCACCGTACCCCCAGTCCTACCTGCAGTACGGTCAGATGATCCAGACCCTGCCCCCCCATTTCCACGGACAGGTGCGCTCAATAATCAGCCTTTTAATCATAAAGTGAAAACAGACCCACGGTGAGGGTTTTTATTATTACTGTGGAACAGGAGACAGCAGAGAGCATTCGTACTTTTTAAAGCAAACTCAAAACCCTCCTTTTTAATATTGCTTTTAACTGAATTGTATTTTATTATGATTTATTTTATTGTTATTTATTTTTACATATATGGTATTAAGTCATATTTGTTCATCACAAAGCTATGTGTTACCTGGGAAGGGGGTGCTAGTATTGTTTGTATTTGTAAATTGTCAATGTGTTTGGTTGGTGAAGCACTTTGAGTTACCTTTGTGTATGAAAGGTGCCTTTTTATAAATAAAGTTTGATTTGATTATAAAAAACATCTAACTAGTGTATCAACATCTTTATGGCTCATAGCTACTTTTTAAAGAGCATTTTGAGCCCCTTGTTTAAAAAAAAAAAAAGGAAAGTCACTTTTTTTAAAACTTTATTTACATGTTTTAATTTTTCTTCTGTGTTTTTTGTCATTACCAGCCAGTTTACTCAATGCTGCCGGGGGGAGCGAGGATGCTGACATCAGGGGCCCCCCCTCAGCAGATGGGGCCTCCTGGGGGCCAGTACCCCGGCCAGGCTGAGAGCCTGCAGGGGCAACAGCAGGCCATGTATGGTAAGCAGAATTATACAAACACTAGAATGATGTTTGAGATGTAGTGTCTGTAATGAGAGGCTCAGCAGATGCTGAAGGAGTGTTGCACTTTTCAAGGACCAAAGTAAATTCCTCTAATGTTGTTGTTTTTGTCTCTCAGCTCAGTCGTTCTCTCACCACTCGGGCGCCATGCATCACCCTCAGCCCTCCAGCACCCCCACTGGGAACCAGCCCCCGCCCCAGCACTCAGCCCCCAGTCCAGGACACAATCAGGTAACGCTGCACCCACATTCATAGGGACCAACAGCAGGACGAAGACATTTTAATTAAACTTTTCAGGCAACATTTTACAATCATAAAACAAAGAACAATACTGTTTTGCAGTTTTTGAAACTAATTTATTTCGTCACAATGCTTTTTTGGCGTTTGAGCTGCAAGATGCACATTTGTCTGAGAATTTTATGGAAAAAAGACGTGTAAATAAAATATAAATTCTATTATAACAATTCATAATTAAATAAGGAAATATATATGCATTATTTACAGGCATTATTTTTATTTAGTATTTCAAATAATGCATTACTAAAATAATGACTTGGAATTTAAAATATTAAAATAAGGGAAAAAATAAATAACGCTATAGTTTCATTTTTTTGTCTTTTAATGGCTGAAATGGGCTTCCATATTATTAAGATAACTTGGAAAATAGGGAAATAATGGGAGATTATTCTTCATAATCCCTATTTTGCAAGTTAGCTTTTGAAGTGCAGCATAAGTGTTTATGCTGCACTTCAAAAGTGCAGCATAAACATGTATTTTTGTGTGATGCCCTTATGAGCAATCGTCTCCTCCTGGTTTGATTACTCTTGCTTTTTAAACTGTGTTTCCCCTCAGTCGAGTCAGGCTGGCCCTCAGCCTCAGAACATGTTCCACACTGGAGGCCTGTCGGCCCCCACCCCTCCTAACATGCAGCCGGGCCACAGCTCCCCCCAGGCCTCCTACGCCATGCAAGGCTACAGCCTGCCCACCCCACCAGGCTCTGCCCCACGGCTTCCCCTCCATCAGCCAGCTCACACAGGTCAGTGAGAGGGAGAGACTCGCGTCTGTGTGAGGGTCACAACTCTCTCTTTATACGTTTTAGTTCACTACATTTAAAACATTAATTTTGCTTTTTGTACTCCACTACATGAATCTGACTGCTTTAGATGTTCTCACAGTTTTACATCCCCTTCCTTTATCAGTATTGATACAAATAAATGAATGAAGGGGGAAATTAAGGAAAAATATTGATAATGAAATGAACAGGAGAATTATTCCAAAGATACATTAAAAAAAAGTATCTTCTTATTATTACTTTAAGTACTCACACAGTACTACATTTTACTGTACAATAAAAAAAAAGGCAAAGTCATTTTACAGACATGGAATGTTGTAAAAGGTTGTCCACCAGAAATGATATCTAGGACCTTCAAGGATCACAACCTGGGTGGACAACCCGGTCAACTAGCTACTGGAAAGCTACAGTGAGGGTCCAAACAATGCAACCCCTATATGAAAAAAAGTCAAAGATTCTGTCTGGATCAGATGCCATCATTCTCTTTCTGATTGATTATCTCTGTGACAGTTCATGGTAAAGACAAACTGAGCCAACCTATTGAAAGAGCAGAACATAAGCTTTCAGGTGATGCCTTGGTTAAGCCTGTTCTCAATAAGGCCACTAGATGGCGCTGTGCCTTTTTTGTCTCTCCAAAGCAAAATCCATTTCAAGCAATGCACTTGTGGTCCTCTGCATTGTTTGCTGTGTTCAAAATGGGTAAATATACTTAAAAGATTATTTCTATATAACATGTTGAAGGGTTTACATTAATATACACAAGGTTTGCTGCCGATGCCAAGTTGAATTGATTCAATGTTTACAGATTTTCCAGTTTACAGTCTGGAAAGCTAAAGGCAGCGTAATTCAAAATGGCCGCCACTTTCTTTGCAAAACCCTTTAATTGAAGGTTTTCTATGTTATAGGACAAGGCAAACTGAGTTAAATGTATCTGGAAGTTGACATTAAGTTCAACTTAATGTCAAATCAATACCCTTTTATTATTTGTGCAAATCAATGTCTTTGTTTTTGTGAAAAATATCCTATTTTGATCATGAAATAAACAAAATTCCTGGTGGCAAAACATTTATTTCACATACTCTCTTCCTAGTTATTAACTAAAAATCAACAGATATGATCAGAAGTTGAACACAAACAATCATTCACATGGCCCAGAACTAGAAAATGTGAATTTTTTAAGAAGAAAAAGGAGAAAAGTAACCTACACTGAATATACAGTACAAATGTTTTCAATGTACACATGATGGTATTCATGGTAGTGTCCCAGAAAGCTTTTTGCTTTCTATTCATTTTCTGAGTCACAGCTGCTGTCACTGCTCTCAAAGTGTGGCAGTGTGTATCCTTCTGCATTTGGTTGCCTGTCCTTGGGCAACGGCACCCTATGTACAGTAGCATGGAACTGCCTTATTCTGACAGACACATGAGATTGTCTTGTTCATCGACACAGGCCAAGCTGGCTTGTAGATGGTACCGGAACTATCCATTGTCCAGAGACCATCCAAATTCTGTGCATGGGGGGATTTATGGGCTTGGCGATGTGTGGTTCTTTTCAGGTGCAGCAAAAATGCATTCTCTGTTAGGGGTCGTAGCTTAGGAGCGTCAATTTGTTGTTCAGGAACTTGTATGCTCTCAGTTTGCCCAGATCAGAACCCTCAAAGTGATCAGCTTTGGATGTATATACAGTTATGGTGAGGTCTCGTGCCTGATTGAGGAGGTCATCTGTTATGGCATCGGCGGGGGTTTCTCACCAAACTCTTCAAGTGCAGGTATGTCCAGACTCATGCTGCTCTTGAACCATGCCCTCCTTGCCAGTGAAATATGGATAACTAGTGGTATCTCTACTATTCAGACTGTGGATGAAGGGCTTGGCACAACACTGTGAAGGTCCCAGTGCCACACCCATGTCATGTATAGGCAGGTATATGATGTCTGTGTCATTGGCATACAAACAACTCTGTCAACTCCTGCATTCTGGACACTGTAGAGAGTGTGGGAGGAAGATCCTAGTGTCAGCCTCCTGCTGTGTTGATTCAAGAGCAGGAACATCCATAACAGACCATGCTGTGAGCACCACAGTCTCTTCTTTGAATCCACCCCCAGGTAGAGATGAGTGGAGCCAAGACCAGGTTTCAGTTGTTCATTCCGCACACCACTTCTCACAAAGGAAGCTCAGCAGGTTTGCTTTGTTAGCAGACACAAAAAACTCCTTTGGATCCAGAGCGGTGTACTGCTCACTGACTTCATACACTTTCGCTGGTTTGGATCTGGCATATCTCTGTTCCTGCTCAGCTGACTTGAGGCTGGTTGTACTGTATCTGTCACAACAGAAGTGTATGATGTCAGTGCCAGGAGGCACATCAATCAGCAGCAGGTGCCTGTATCGCTCAGCGATCACTCCAAATCCTTCACCTGTGTGGAAAGACCGGTGTTGTATGGCGGACATGGCATCTACGACTACTGCTGTCTAGAGGCAGTCTTTGGGCAGATCAGGGATGCTGCTTACTTTGGTTTTCTCTTTCAAGATCTTCACAAGGCTCGTCTTGGTCCCTGTACTCATTCTGCCATCTTCCTGGAAGAGGGATGGGGGAAGGTCACTGCACTCGTGGTTGCCTATGAAGTCAACAATGTTGAGTTCTCCACCACTGGCAATGATCTGGGTCATGCGCAGAAGGGCAGTGACTTCATTGCTCTTGCAAGGTGAAGAGGTTTTCCCAGACTTCTTTGGTTTCATCCTGTTTTGTGTATGGAAGGTGTTTAGCTTTACAACACTTGTCTTCTTCTGGTCACTGGACAGTGACTCTGACAATGCCTTCAAACCATCTGCTTTCACACTCAGGTTGTCCTTGACTGTGGGATCTGCACACTCACCAGTAGATATATTGATCAGGGATGGTGTGGCTGTCGTGAATAGGTTGGTCTCTACTGCTGCCATGACCTTGACTACCATCTCTGCATCCCTGTTGACATGACTCCAACCAGATTCATGGGGGCTGGAGGAATGGAGGTGCAGCGTAGACTTGAGCTCTGCAGAGATAGCTGCAGTGAGTGGTTTTGTGTAGACCCACTTCATCCTGGCAGCACGATTGAGTGTAATGCCATCCAGACCACTTGCCTCCTTGGCATCTGCATTATATGTCTGCTCCAGAAGCATGTCAGGAGAGACACCATTGTGGTTGCCATCTGCTCTCCTTCCAACAAATGCACCTGCCATCAGTGCTTCATGTGCCTCAGGGGCTGTCTCTGGCAGTTTCTTCATCTCAGACAAATACAGACGCAAAGACTGCTGCCCATATTTGTAGTGTCCTGCTGCAGTGAGGTAAGGTAGCATCCGTGCTGATTCAGAGATCTCCTGCCCAGTAACCTTCCCGCTGGTAGTAGATGAACCTGTGGAGAATGTCTGACATCTCCAGAAAGATTGACCAGAAAACTGCAGAGATTCCTGGAAAAGTAACATCTGTTCTTTTAGGATTGATATATGTGGAACGTGACATCTCTGATGATCACCAACTTCTCAGTAGCAGTGGTGTCTTTCTCAAACAACATCTTCACAACATTTTCTACTTGTGACTGCCAGTGTTGTGTTTCTCTGTCTGCTGCACATGCCTCAAATGCTTGCCAGTACAAGCGCCACATGGCCTCACTGAGGATCCTGAGAGCATGCATGGTTTGGTAGTAGTCAGCCTTCTCACCAAACATCTTCTTGGCAGTCCCTTCCTGAAACAGACCAGCTGCAACAAGAATATCCTCTGCACCTGCATCCCTGATGATTTGCAAACAGCCTTCATGTGTTAGGGAATAATTCTCCTGGACTCCTAGATATCTATCCTTTTTGCCCTTTGACGTTTATGACCAACCCTGACGTCTGTTATCTCCCTTCAGCCATATGTTGTTGTTCCCATTTTATGACCGGGCAACTCTCAGTCACAGATGGTTTATTGTTGTGAGAACGCTGGAACACTTCCTTCTCTGTGTTTGTGGACTCCAAGGTGTGTAATCTTCGAGGCCATAAGTGTCAGACGCAAGTAATTCAGTGTTCCCAGCTGTTTAGGCTATCTCTTCAAATACGTGGCAACTCTCCTGTGAAGTCAGAACCTCTGGCTCGTGACTTGTGATGTGAATTCTCCGGCCGAAGATCCTAATAAACCATCAGTGTTTGACATCAAAGCTCCTGCTCTCCCCGTGTCTCCTTCATGAGCCGGTGACTCCCACTGCATTGCTACACAGAAGTTTCCCTCACATCATGTAGTTATGAGCTTGGTGAAATCCCCCCAGCAGCAGGACTACATTGCAGAACTCATCTCTGTGCTTGTCTCTGATGGCAACTGCGAGTTCATATGTAGCCTGATCTCCAATGATAATGGTATACTTGTCTCCCAGTGCATGTGATGTCTTGATCAGCCGTTTCATTTCTTCTTTCAGGACAGCAGGATCAGTTAGAGATGCTGGGATGAGAGGAAGATAGCCAATGATACTGGCCGGTCTGTGTGGGTGGAGGTCTGCACAGAAGGCAGAAAAGCCAGGCAGTCCTGCTTCTGCATCTGGAGGAGCATCCAGCAATTCTGAAGTTGTAACCATTCTTGCAAGATGCCACATAAGTAACAGGTCTTCAGCTGTGCCATCTGAGGAAGTATCCAGACTCTCTAGCTTCTCAATATGCTCAAGTGACCTGGACCTCTGCCTGTCTTTAACTGAGACGTGTCACATGGGAGCAGGTAGGTCAGTAACATCAGAGAGAGTCTTCTTTCTGTCCGAGGTAGAAGTGGGGAGTCTGGCACCCTCCTGGACCCGCACAATCTTTTGGTTTTCAATTATAATTGCAGTGGTGGCATTCAAACTCCCACCCTCCAGTGTCTTCTTCTTCCAGTCCAGATTGTCCATAGCAAACACATGGGGGATCTCGCTGTTTTTCATCATGGTCTCTGGGATGTAAACACCATCCGTTTATTCTGGTGCATGACCTTCTAACTTTGTGCTGTTAGCTATTTTGTGTTCAACTTCTGATCATATCTGTTTATTTGTAGTTAATAACTAGGAAGAGAGTATGTGAAATAAATGTTTTGCCACCAGGAATTTTGTTTATTTCATGATCAAAATAGGATATTTTTCACAAAAACAAAGACATTGATTTGCACAAATAATAAAAGGGTATTGATTTGACATTAAGTTGAACTTAATGTCAACTTCCAGATACATTCAACTCAGTTTGCCTTGTCCTATAACATATAAAACCTTCAATTAAAGGGTTTTGCAAAGAAAGTGGCGGCCATTTTGAATTACGCTGCCTTTAGCTTTCCAGACTGTAAACTGAAAAATCTGTAAACATTGAATCAATTCAACTTGGCATCGGCAGCAAACCTTGTGTATATTAATGTAAACCCTTCAACATGTTATATAGAAATAATCTTTTAAGTATATTTACCCATTTTTGAACACAGCAAACAATGCAGAGGACCACAAGTGCATTGCTTGAAATGGATTTTGCTTTGGAGAGACAAAAAAGGCACAGCGCCATCTAGTGGCCTTATTGAGAACAGGCTTAACCAAGGCATCACCTGAAAGCTTATTTTCTGCTCTTTCAATATGTTGGCTCAGTTTGTCTTTACCATGAACTGTCACAGAGATAATCAATCAGAAAGAGAATGATGGCATCTGATCCAGACAGAATCTTTGACTTTTTTTCATATAGGGGTTGCATTGTTTGGACCCTCACTGTAGCTTTCCAGTAGCTAGTTGACCGGGTTGTCCACCCAGGTTGTGATCCTTGAAGGTCCTAGATATCATTTCTGGTGGACAACCTTTTACAACATTCCATGTCTGATTTCCTAAAAAATTGGGTTTTGCCCCCTGGGTAAGTAGTATTTTTACTGCAGTAAACAGTCTCAATACTTCTTCCCTGACGTTAACCTTTAATCTCAGTTCCTCACATGGCGTCTTTTTTGTCCCCCCCAGGCTCATGTAGCAGGAGGCATGGCGGGCCCCCACCACTCTGCTGGTCACGGCCTGCCGCCCGTCATGCTGCACTACGTCTCCCCTCAGCAGGGCGGGGGCTCCAACCCCCAGCACGGCCCCCAGCAGGGGGCCCCACAGCACTTCTACATCGGACACCCCCAAGGTAAAAAGTCCCCACCTGAACCAGAGCAGTTTGTGCTTTTGTTCTGAAATGTTCTGCAACGCCTGGTGATTATCATGATATGTTGGGGGGAAATTGTGCGTATTTTCTTATTCATTTATTTCTATACCTTCATTTTTCTTACTTTATTGACATTTATATGACATATTTAATACGTAGAATATAATTAGTTTTTATGACATTTTTGACATATGTCAGATTTTTTTAAAATAAATTAAATGACTTTTTAAATACTTTACTACTTTAACATCTTTTTAAAATCTTTATTTATATACATTATGATTTAATTAAATATTATGTAACACTTATAGTTTGTTTTACACTATTAATTGTTTTTTATTTGAACAGATAAGTGTAATGCAAATAGAAAATGTTGTCATGTTTTGGAAGATGATTAAAAACCAACAAAAGAATGGAATATATAAATGTTCTGTTGTGTCTCCAGCTGTCCAGGTGCAGGCTCACCCCTCCCAGCAGCTGTCCTTCCACCCCTCTGCAAACTGAAGCCCTCCCTCACCGCTGGATTCAGGAGAGGAAGAAGAAACCCCCCCCCCCACCCCAAAAAAAAATATCCCCAAGCAACTTGTAACATTCCCACCTCCTGACACCAAATTAACACTATCATTTTTACCCACCTCATCTTTTAGACATGAAGACGTTTCTTGGATTTTTAAGTGTAAATACAGACTGTTTTCACTTGGAGCTGGTCTGAAGACGGTAACTGGTGGAATCATTTAGACTGACGACAGTGGGAAACAAGCCCCCCCCCCCCTCCCCCACACCTCCTCTGTCCTTTTACAGAAGAAACCAGTTCATTAATAATAAAACCACTGAAAAAAAATCAGTTTCCTTGAAGTTATTTTATAGATGAAGCAAATAAACTGCCCTCCGGTCTGTTAAATGTGGAGCTGCAGCCACTTAGCGTAGCATGAGGTCTGGAAACAGCTAACAAGGGTCTGCTGTCTGCTTTAATTTGCATGGCTTTTTTATCATTTCTTTCACTTTATTGACCTACTTATATTACCTTTTTATGACATACTATGACTTTTATTTTAGTATGTGTTTTTTTCTCAGAATTCTGAAATATTATACTATGTAATTGTTCTACTATTTTCAACATACTATACCATGTCGTTTTCTATCAAAATCTTGACATACTATACTCGTTTTTTCCCTCTCCAAAATATCAACATATTTGTTTTTTCCTAAAAATGTCAACATACATGTTGTTTTGTGGAAAAATACATTGTCAAATTTTGTAAAAAAAGAAAAGACAGCATGGTGCATGAAAATCTGCAAAGAATTGGCATACAAAAGTATGTAAAACATGTGCAAGAAAATACAAAATACTGTATTTAGAAATATGGGAATGAGAAAAAAACGACCTAGTATTGCGAACATCTAAAAATAAAACTACACATAGTTTTTCGAAATTCTGAAAAAAAACAATATAGTATGTTGAAAATGTAAAAGAAAATGACATGGTATAGTACAGGGGGTAGCCAACACGGTGCCCGCGGGCACTAAGTCGCCCGCAGGGGCAACATGAGTCGCCTGCGGGGCATGTTCTAAAAATAGCTCGCCAAGCAAATCCAAATGTAAAAAATACACAAAACAAAAAAGGAAATGTAATTAAAAGAATCTACCCTATGCATAAACGAAACCTCAATCATAGCGAACTCTATCTACTTACTACAACTCCAGTGGTGACTGGTCATTAGGGGACCCCCACCTAGTGTCAGCAGAAAGTATTAAAAATAATGATTAAAAAATATATATATATAAAATATATTTTAAGATCATGTTTAATCATCTGATTCGTCTGTATATTGCTGTTTTAGTCTGTGTTCTTCTAATTAGTGTCTACAGTGTGTGCCTATTGAGACGTTTTGGGCCATGTGGGACAAAACCCGATCCTGCCAATGGTGACTGTAAAAACTACACTGCGCATGCTCAGAGTATTTTTCAATTTAATGTGTGTGGCAGAAAAATAATCACCATAGGGGCATAGTGCTGCCATCCCCACCATACGTCATCTCACATAATTCAGAGCTGATTGGCTGTAAGTACGTGTGCCGCGAAAAGTGTGGTGTGTGAAGAGGAGACGAGAGACGCGTCCTAAAACCAAGAAGTAAGCTGCGCATTGTTTCCCTCCTCAAAAAAGCAATGAGATTTCTCCATAGGATTTTAGAAAATAGCTCCAAATAAGATCTGTGAGAAACTAACCTGTTAGATAAATGCACGTTTTGTTCAGCCGGATAATATCCACATGTCTGTTGTCTACCCTACTTCATCATTTTCGAATCATAAATCTATCGATTAGATTTATGATAGACTTTTGAAACTACAGTACAAGAAGATAAGGAGGACTTTTACAAAAAAGTAAGAGATTTTTGTCCCGAAGGATAGGTAAATGGACTTCATCTTCAAGTCAAGGTAAGACCACCATTTTATTGAAAATGGGATCTTACTAAGAGAGAACAATTCAATATTTAAATGATACAATTACATTTGTTGGGTATCCTTTTGTTGAACTGTCTGTTTAAAATTAATCGAAGCATCAGACAAAAAAAGCTTTTGAAAATAATATTATATTTTGATTTAGGTCGAAAATATAATATTTGTAAACCTGAAGAGTCAGTGCCAGTGCCTCACCAGCCATGAACCTCACTGCACGTCACTGCAGAAGCTTATATACATCTAAGTTTTTGTGCCCCACCACTTTTTGTACTAAAAACAGCACTGTACAACTCTAATATCTAACACACCCCTCCTCCCCAACCCCACAATGAATATCGACCAATCACGTTCTTTGCCTTGATTTGCGGGACCAGCGTAGCAGTCGGAAGAAAAGCAATGTCGATCGGCAACTCCCCGCTTCATAAGGAGTGTGACCGTGATTTTCCTTCTGGCAGAATCTACACAACACATCAGCCCATACTTGCCAACCCTCCCGATTTTCGCGGGAGACTCCCGATTTCATTGCCCTCTCTCGGTTTCCTCCCGGGGTTATATTTCTCCCGATTTCTGACAAAATCAGACTTTACTCAGGGACTGTTTCCACTCGGACTTTTTTGAAATTCTCCCGATTTCTGAGGCCTCAAGGTTGGCAAGTATGCATCAGCCCCATTGTAACAGCCTAGTCGTGCCAGCCTACTGGTGTGTGGTGTGTGTGTGTGGTGTGTGTGTGTGTGTGTGTGTGTGTGTGTGTGTGTGTGTGTGTGTGATTGTTGGTGTGTGTGGTGTGGTGTGTGTGTGTGTGTGTGTGTGGTGTGTGTGTGTGTGGGTGTGTGTGTGTGTGTTGCAAAAAATAAGAAATCATTCCAATGTGTACTATAGGACAGTAAAAAAAAAAAAAACAGTTTAAAAAAGGGGAGTGATTAGTAAAATATGCATAAATAAAAAGAAAGAATACTAACTAGGAAACATAAGAATAAACAAGTTGAAATGATTTGTTATTGGTTGTGATCATATTCTAAAGATGTTTGGATTATTGAAAAGTATACAGCTCCCTTTCATCTGAGTGTTGAGAGCTGTATCCATACATTCATGTAGTGCTCAAAGTGCACCAGATTGATGCATTTCACTTCAACATTTAAAAAAAAAAAAAACTCTTCCCGACGGTGCATGCCCCCGGACCCCCCTAGAGGAGGTGAGGACCCCCCTAGAGGAGGTAAGGTCCACCCCCAAATAAAGCAGCTTAAAATAATTAAATTGAATACATGTTCTTTTAGTAAACACTGCAAACGGGTCCCACAGACCCAAACAGCACACAAAGGTTGAAGGTCAGCATATAATAATGTTAAAATGTGCTAATTATATACACTGCAAAAAACAAAAAGAGGAGTAAAAGTAGCTCACGAATTGTTTTATTTTTTTAAACTAGCTCTCATCCTAAAAAAGGTTGGAGACCCCTGTTATAGTGTGTCGAAAATGACAGAAAAAAAGACATGGTACATTTTGATTAAAAAAATACAATTTTGTTTACTCTCAAAATGTTGACATTCTGTGTTTTTTCCTGATATTTTCAACATGCAATACTATGACTTTTCCGACATACTATACAATAACATATTTTCCATCATACTATACTATTACTTTATTCACAATATCTTGACATACTATACAATGATATAATTTTCGACATACAATACGTCTAATTTTAACATTGATAAATTAGGTTTTTCCAAATATTCAGACATACTTTACTATTAATTTCTTTCAAACATACTACTGTGACTAGTTTTGACATACTATTATACTATTACAATCAGGCCCCCCCCTACCTCACAGACCTGCTGCACCACCACGCCCCCTTCCCGCTGCCTCCGCTCATCAGAAGCCAACCTCCTATCCATCCCCACCCGCACCAATCACCGGACCTGGGGGGAGAGAGCCTTCTCCGTCGCTGCCCCCTCCCTCTGGAACTCACTCCCCCAACCCATCAGAGACTGCACTGACCTCACCACCTTCAAAAACTCACAAAACTCAACCTCTTCAATCTGCTTTTAATGTGTGATTGTTTTTGTATTATTTGACTTTAACTTTAACTATATATTTATTTGTTGTTCCTTCCTTTTCTTTTCCCTTCACTATCTGTAAAGCGGCTTTGAGCACCTGTAAAAGCGCTAACAAATTAAATCTATTATTATTATATGAGCCGTTTTCCCCCATACAGTAATATACTTAGCATTTTCTTAACATTCATGTCTACATTTTTACATGTTATAGTATTTTTATTTAAAACAACTGAATTTGTACACACTATACTATGGTTTGTTACACAATATACATATTTAGCATACTTTACTATAATTTATTTACATTAAACTATATGACTTTTATATGTATTCCTGTACTTAGACTTAAATGTCAACAATCATGTCAAAATACAGAAAGATAAGTTATTTTTGTTAAAAGGTTTTTACAACTAAAGAATACAATCTTTTAGAATTTAAGGTTTGAGTGAAGGTTTAATTGAATACAAAAAAACGAGTTTAACACAAATGGATTACAGAGAAGGTAAGACACATAATACATCATTACAACAAAATGTGAATAAGGACATTCTCAGGACTTGTCAGTAAAATCAAAGTAAAGCAGATATGCATCAACAAAAACGTTCATAATGTTCAAAACTACAAAACACTTACTTTCAGAAATTCAAGGTTCTTATGAAATCCTTGTAATAGCGTCAGTTCAAAATGTGTAACCTTAATCTGCCTTAAATACCCAATAATAGTCTGTCTATCATAGCCTGATTAACACTTCTCTGGTTCCTTCAAAATAACAACATCTATGTAGGCTATCAAATGTATAGAAAATATGTTTGTATTTCAAAAATGTTTTTAAAAGCAGTTTTAACCATCATATATATGGATATGCTGATTCTCTCTATTTTATAGCACATTAAAATGAATATCTAAACATTCTTAACTGAAGAAACAAGGCATTGAAAGACCGCCCTAGTTTTAAAAACTGAGATGGACTTTTTTCATTACTTTCGGAATTTTTTTGTGGAGCGAAGCATTCATTGAGTTACCTAAAACAGTGGTTCCCAACCTTTTTCCCCAAGAGCCCCCCCAAATTACTCCTGTTGGAAGTTGCGCCCCCCGGTTAACAGCGGTTATTAAAGTTGAAAAGTCTCAAAATGCTACAACTACTGTCACAAACTGGATGAATGTGAAGTATTTTGTTAAAGGAGGATGAAAGCGTAATTAAGGAGCACTATTGGAGTGACTTTGATGGTTATTGGACTCAGGATTAATTCATTTGGATTCCCGCTGAATGAAGAAATGAAAGGACGGCGCAAGTGGAAACAATTCACAAAGGGATTAAACTGTTTAAAATACATGCTCAAAGTAAGCCGGATTTTGCCGATGTGTTTATGTGGATTCAAAAGTCGTAAATAATCTACAAAATGGAGGAGACCGATCTGATCGGAGCATAATCCAACTGAAACCGGCATGGCCAATGACTATGTTTTAAAAATGCGCTTATCCAGACAAGCCTGGTTTGGACACTTTACGGGCAGAAGAAATATTTCTATTAAAGAAACAATTATAAATGTCTGTGTTTTTATGTCTATAATAGCTACTAACTTGAATTTGTATTCAAATTAATTAATCAATTATTTTTTATATTTTATTGTAATGTAGAGGCAAGGCTTATAGTGACAATCATGTATTGCGTTACAATTCTATGTAAAAAATAAAATAATAAAATAATAATAAAATAAAATCTAAATATGATATTTGGCCTCAAATCATCTGAGGCCTGGCGCCCCCCTGCGATTTTTGGCGCCCCACCAAGGGGGGCGCACCCGTCAGGTTGGGAACCACTGACCTAAAAGATATCATCAGAGGCCTGTACTACGAAGCAGGATTTTCGCTTAGCGGCTAACTTCAGGGAAAACTCTGGGTTTCCGGTCCTACAACGCTGGTTCTCTTTTTAGCAGGCTAGATCTCCATGGTAACTTATGCTGAGCGGCTAGCCTGCTCCGGAGCAGGTTAGGTTGCAGGCTAAGAGATCAACTCAGTGAAAGCACTGCCTGCTGACCAATCAGAGCTCAGTGTGCGGAGTTTAAAGCGATCAAGTCATATTACAGGAGAAAGGAAATACAGAAAAACTGCTGTTGCAGGAAAGACGGCCGGCAAAAATCACCGACTGTGTGAACGTGAACATTAATAGAATATCACCTCCATCTTCAGAGCAATCTGACTATTATAACATTAGCGTTAAGAAAGCTTAATTAAATATCTGCCACAACATAAGTAACCGGATCAAAGTAACAGTACAGTCCGCGGCATATCACTTCATAATGTATCATATATTTTCTTATCTGAGTCAGCTGTATCTGGCCGTGCAACACTCACAGTGTCACATAGGCCTACTGTATGCAGAAGTATTATTTTAAGCAACACATTAAGTTGACGAAACACTCGAGTCAAATGTAATTTAAAGTCAGATCCACTCGTGTCCTATAAGGCAGTGATATCATAAACCTGTTAATGTACGCATTCAAACACTTGTTCTGTTACCAGCTGTATTCACCTTGCAGGTGCAGCTATGTGGCTTTTATCCTGGATAAAGTGTTTAAGTCATGGATGTTTAAAGTTTAACTTCTTCATATGTCTAATATTAAAGTTCACTTTTCATTCAGGAAGTATGAGGCGCTGCGCTGTCAGTACGCTTGTCCATGTTTGTGATTGGTCGAATGCTCCAAATACCACCCCTTGCATGTGAACGCGCACCTAACTCGATAGGGCACGGCTGGCTTGAGCGATCCACTTGATAACTCGCGTCGTAGTACAGTTTAGCGAGAGCACGTATGTTTTGGATTAGGCCAACCGGCTAACTCAAACATATCCAGGTTAGGTTGAACCAGCTTCGTAGTACAGGCCTCAGGTTAATCAATAATTAAAAGTATTATCATTTCCAAGTATACATAAGAAAAAAAGTGGTCCAAGTACTGAACCCTGTGGACTCCCTTTGTTTTATGTCAGAATTTATATCATCCATACTTGTACATCGTTGTCTGTACTCAGCAGAGATGAGATCATTTCATAAATTGCAAAACAAGCTAACTTTTGAGTTGGTGCCCTAGATTGATATATGTATTCTATAACATGATGACAATTCCCATCATCATCTCACAAAGCAACGCCTTTAATTGTCTAGTTTTGTTTTGATCAAAAGGTGACCAATATACGCTCTATGTCCAACAGTGGAAATCAGCTTTCTGTCGGTAAGATTTTGGATTTATTATGGCTTTTTAAATTCTACTAATGCAGTTCAGATGCAGCGTTCTGCTGCTGGACAAACTTCTGGTTTGGTGCGTTAGCAATATCCTCTTTTTCAGTTTCTTTCCTCAGTTTGAAATCCAACCTAAAAAAGCCATCATGACTTCAAGGAGGAGGAAAAAAGTGTAGATGGCGCTCACTATAGTAATTTAATCAGTCAGTGTCACTTCATGCACGTTGACGTAGTTTCCTTCATCATCATCACTATCAGTTTCGTCATCGTCTCCATCATCATCTTCTTTACCAACATTGTCGTTATCGTCTCCATCCGTGGTGCTGTCACTCCGAACTGACAGATCTGGTGTTGATCCTGTTGAGAAACATGACAGATAATAGAAGATGGAGTTCATCCCTCAGTGTATTTGATCATATTCTGTGCATTAGATTTGACATTTTGTGTCGAGGTCGTCATCAGAAAGAACACATTTAAGGTATTTGTACTTTACTTGAGTCTTTTTCTTTGAATGCAACTTCATACTTCTACACCACTACATTTATCAGCTAAGTTCTTAACGGATTCATATTTGTACACAAAACATACAAAGATTAGATAGAAAACTAAATTCATATCAGCCAGTTTTCTTGTAAGCCATTAGCTGGTTCCTGATTTGCTTCTTTTGCTTTGAATTTGGTTAATAATGTAAATGTAAAGGTGTGACACTGAGAAAGTGGATTCTGAGCTCTCTGTTTACATCAGGCACTGTCGTCATGGGAGACATTACATTACATGGTACTTGTTAGACGCTTTTATCCAAAGCGACTTAAGGCCCGGACACACCAAGCTGACACCAAAGAACTGACACAGCCGGACCCCCGACTGTTGTGTCGCCTCGCATCTCTGGGTCTTGGCCATGTGTCGCACTGAGCCACAGAGCTCACAACTTCCTGTGTTGAACACCACAGAGGAAGAAAGAACAGCAAAGAAGAAACCCACGTGATCTGAGAACTCACTCTGATACTGCAGCAGCTCCACGTTCAGATAGTCTTTTTCCTCTGAGGAGAAAACACAGATTCAACAAATCTAAATGTGTGTTTGTCAGGCTAATTAGAAATATTATAAAATAAACATTATTATAAATACATATTTAGAGTTTTTTTATCTTAAATGTCCCACTTTAATCTCAGAGAATATCCATTTGAACTGTCTTCTTGTTAATGGAATAAGATGATTTAGAACATCAAAATGTAAAATAAACAAACGATTAAATGAATAAGAGAAAATACAAGGGAAAGATGTTAAGAGGAAAGTACAGACTATTAAAGACTAAAAAAAATAAAGTTGTTGGCTCTTATAGGAAACTAGACACTTAAAACACAAGGAATTACAATTATAATATACCAAAAGAGGACAGACGCCCTCTTAAAACACTCACCCTTCTTTGTTGGGACATTTTCATAGTCATGTAGAACATCTGGAAACAAACAGCTCATTACTTCACATGTGACCTGTATAATGAACATGTATCCTCAAATCTACTGATCCACCATGATGTCTCATTATAGAATACATCATATCATGTGTAACTGTTCTCTCGCTCCAATTCTTAGTTTGTCCTTGTTTCTTTCTTGTTCTCATGATATTTTCTTTTTTCCATGATGTAGAGGCTGTACAATCCAATGTTCTCATATTACAAGCCAAACAAAAAGGGAACAATAAAATACACAACGTTTAAATAACATACTTTTAGCTCAGAATAAAAGTAAAAACTTCAAACTAAACCAGGAATATTAAAAAAGCCTTTTGATAAGTCTTCAAATGTATTTTGAAGAGGGTGTGTAAAATAACATAAATCCCCAAATCATAATTTCATTAAAACGTGTCATTGAATGAAAAAGGAAGTGAAGTCACTTTTGCCAGGGAGACTTTATAAACTGGATGCTGGGTGAAACTTAAGTCTGAGTTTGTGTTTCCGGTTTCCAAACTGTACCTGAACTAGGCGTGGAGGCTCGACTCTGATTGGTCACAGGGGTTTCACCTTCAGGCAACACGATTCTGCGGAGGAGGAGGAGGAGGAGGAGGAGGAGGAGGAGGAGGAGGAGGAGGAGGAGGAGGAGGAGGAGGAGGAGGAGGAGGAGGAGGAGGAGGAGGAGGAGGACGACAAACAGTCAGTTCTGATTTACTGTTCCAGCTTTAAATAAATCTTAGCTCCAGATGTTTCTCCTACATGTATCCGGGGTCTTCTGCATCGCTCTCAGTGTTGATGTAGTCCGGACCTGCAGAACACAGGCCGATTCAAATGAGAAGATTTTATTCTGTTGGCTTGTTTAATATACAGAGATGCATCACATTCTATTAGATCATCATACAGAACAGTGTTTCTCTAAAAAGATCAAAACGTTTCATGAGTTTCAGAGAAGAAAGCGTTTTCCAGCTGATCCAAGAGGCTTTTAAATGACTTTATTTAGACTCAAATGTAGGAGAATCTACTCAACAAATAAAAGTAACACATCAGCTTTCATCAAAATAAATCAGATTTATTTTTACTTGACAGGAAGGAGAAAAAATTACTTAAATGTATACTTACATTTAGATAGAGGCAATAGTTGATTGATAAAATGTGACATAAGTTGATCATTTGTTTTAATTTGATTTATTTACCTGTGTATTAAATCACCTATTTTATGTTACTTTTTTAACTTTATTTCCCCCTGTATTTATTTATTTAAATGTTGTTTTGTATTCATTTATTTCATGAATTTATTTAATAATGAATATATTTTGCATTTTAATTATGTATACCAAAAGCAGTGAAATGGACAAAGGCAATTTATAAAGAAGCAAATTATAAATATATCACCTTTGATCAAATATTTAATTGAGCCATCTTTGAAATCTTTACACTGGACAGGAAGCGGATAAATAATTGCAGTAACTAAACTAAACTAACTAAAGCTGTCGGACAGATTGATACTTAAATACGGAAGAAAATGACGTTGCTGCAGTTCCAATCTTACCGTCTGTTGGATTCTCATAACTTGGATTACTTTCTGTAAAACAGAAAAAAAAAGATTTTGTTTTTCTGAATAAAGTATGATCGGCAACAAATTAACTTAAGTGACACACTTGACTGCAATTCCGACTAACATGACTTATTGATCAAGAGTAATTAAAGTTCAAAAACAAACAAAGGTGCTGTAAACAGTCAACACATCTTAAATGAAATCAAACAGCAGAATGTCACCAGTTTCCGTTGGGGTGTAGGATCTCTGTCTGCGCTGTGTTCCAGGGTCAGATAAGGGGAGGCTGAGCGGGAAAATACAAATATAATTGAATTAAAACATGAATACTGTCAACCATAAGCAGGGTCTTTGAACATTTTATATTTTTTAGAGCTTTCACAAGTAGTAAAGATGTAACTGTTTGAATGTAAATGTGGCGCAATTGAGAAATTACATTTCAATTTTTATTTTGGTACTCAGATCTTGTACTTGAGTAAAAGTAGAAGTACCAGAGAGTATACATACTCTGTTACAAGTAAAAGTTTCCTGCATTCAAAATGTTACTCAAGTAAAAGTAGAAAAGTATTAGCAATCACAAAATACTTAAAGTACCCAAATGTAAAAGTAGTGATTATGCAGATTGGTCCATTTCAGAATAATATATATGATATGTTTTATAATGATTGATCATGAAAGTGTTCTCAAAGCTGGTTAAGGTGCAGCTAGTTTGAATGACTTGTATACTGCAGGGGTAGCTTGTGAATTTACTCCAGGTGGAACTCAAGTCTGATTTAACACTTGGTTAGATTTCACCATCATTCATCCACATCTGTGAAGTAACTGAAGGTATTAAATACATGTAGTGGAGGAAAAGTACATGATTAACCTTTGATTTGTAGTGGGGTAGAAATACAAAGGAACATCAAATAGAAATACTCAAGTAAAATACAAGTATCTCAAAGTACTTAAGTACAGTACTTGAGTTAATTTACTGAGTTACTTTACACCACTGCATACGCTGCAGCTGTATATAGTTCACAGCATGAATTAATATCATTCACGTAGAATATTAGCTTATAAAACATGATTCTATGAACGGCAGCAGGTGTGTTTAGTTTTGAAGGAGTGACTCACAAAGGGGACAGCAAGTGGATGGAGTTCACATCAGAATTCTGCTGGGCTGCAACTCAACACGAAGGAAGTCACCATCATCATCATCATCATTACATGTCGACTTACATACATTACATTCTGTGGGCAATTTGGGGTGAAGTGTCTTGCCCAGGGACACAACCACATGCTGACTGCTGTGGGGATTGAACCAGTGCTCCCCTGATTTGAAGATCAGCGCATTAACCCACCGAGCCACAGCCTCTTATATACAAGAGCAGGTATATATTTTGTTAGCTTGCCGTAACAATAATTTAATGCATTAAAGAGCACACCTAAGGGAAAATGTAATCACTACTTCAATAGAGTGGTACAGGAATGAGTTTCAAAACCTTAAATTAGTTAACATTTTAACACTTCCTTGCTCTCTCGTCTCGAGATCACGTTTTGTTCCACAACATAAAATACGTCAGTAAATACCTCACTGGTGAATGTCTGAAGTTTCTATATGTCATGAAAACATAGCGGTTGCTATCAAGTTATTAATGAGAGCACAAAACATCATCACGCCAAACATTAGCCGCATTTAGCTTTGTGGCTTTTTTGTGGAGCGACCCCTCAGAATTGCCACAGACTTTGTGCAATAAACTTCTTTACACCTTTTCAGGTGTTTCAGACTTACAGGGATGGATGACTCTGAATTCAGTGGATCTGATTAACAGAAGAAAGAAAATCAGTCATTATTTCATAAAACACTGACATTAATCTGAATTATTGTACTTTAAAAATATGATCTTTTAGCTATGTGTTGTAGAAGTAAAGGCTTACGGCATGTATTCCTCTGAAACATTCGCTTGCCTGATGGAGACTGATGGGAGGAAACAGAAATACATTATTATTTAAATGGTTGAAATAAAAGCACCTGTCAGAAGCTATAAAGCACTGTGGCAGTGACCATGAGATGTGTGAAAACATGAAACTGGTTTGAGACCACAGGATGTAATATTGAGGTCACGATGAACCACGTGTGTGTGTGCTGTGTGAGTAGAGACGGCCGCCCACCCAGAGGCCCTCTGTTCCTGCAGTGCAGACACACCAGCGCCAGCAGCACCACAGAGACAAGGACGGCTGCCGACAGAACCCAGACGAACCAGGAGACGGCCATGTTTCATCTGGAGACAACGTGAGAAACATTTCAATATTACATTATTTCTATACTTTAGGCCAGACTGGTGATCAAACCTTTCAAAAGTAGCAATCAATGGAGCGGTGCAGTGATGAGTCTAAAACCAGGAGAGACTTAGCACTTCTTGTTCCCTCGTCTCAGTCAACTTTTTTTTTACGTGTTTGTGGTTAGATGCCGGAAATAAGTTCTGTGGTAATCACAAGCTGAAGAGATTTTCACCTTTTGTTCTACACCATAAAATATGTCAGTAGTTATCACACACGTGAATGTCCGAAGCTTCTATAAAAATGGTGGTTGCTAATAATTAGCTAAATAAACCATAGACATATAAAGAGTAGAGCGCCGCATTGGCTGCTGGGGCGCAAGAATACGGCCGCCATCTTGGACCGGTCATCCTACCCATATTGTACAGACATTCTACCCATACTAGACAGCAGAGGTTTCAAGATACCAGAGCACTGTGCGGCGTATTGCTGTGCAAATCGGCGGACGATTGCGAACAGGGGTCGGGGGATACTTTTCACAAGTAAGATTCAACATTATTATTGGTTGTATTTTGTAAATAGAATATTATTGTACTGTATTGATGTCCGCCAGCGAAATCGTAGCCAGCAAACATTATGTTTATGGCCAACTGAGACTTTATAAATCATATGCTGCTGTAACAAGTGAATTTCCCCGTTGTGGGATGAATAAAGTAAAATCTAATCTAATCTATCTAGAAGAAGAAGGAAGAAAATAAGCTTGACCTCCTTCTTAAAAAAGTGTTTGTGTTGACTCTCTCAAATCTCCCGTTTTTATTTTGAAGGTTTCCCAAAGACAAAGATATGAGGAAGAAGTGGGAAGTTGCTTTGAGGAGGGAAGGGTTCACTGCAAGCGAGTCATTGGTGATTTGCAGTGAGCATTTTAAGCAGGACGAGTTTGACAGGACAGGACAGATTGTCCGACTCAGAGATGGTGTTATTCCCTCCATCTTCAGCTTCCCGGTTCACCTCCAAAGAGTAGGTGTATCATCATAAGGCTATTAGCATTCATAAATGTAAATATTCTATTATCAATAACAAGGCAGGGTGAAATACCTATCCCTGTGTATGTGTGTGTGTGTGTGTGTGTTTGTGTGTGTGTGTATATATATATATATATATATATTCTTTTCAAGTATTATGCTTCTTCATTTTAGCCGGAAAAGGGCAGGACTACGTCTACTTCCAGAAAAGCTGAAGAGAGCCTGTCTGTGGCCCCTCAGGACGACCCAGAAGCTTCAACCTCACACTCACAACCTCAGCCTAATGATGTGTGTATTTCTATTTTCAACATCATATCATAATGGTCCTAGACAAAGTAAAATCTCTCTTGTTTGCTGCCACTCATATTAAACACACTCACAAATAAACCCATACACACACAATTGAAGACATGTTGAACATGCATTCCTCACACACACACACACACACACACACACACACACACACACACACACACCACACCACACACACACACACACGATGCTGGCAGTGGCTTTGACAGGTGATGACTTTAAGAAAGAATGTGGGCCTACTCTAGTTGTGTCAAAGTGATGTGTGTGAAGTGAAACATCACTCAAACCATGTTCATCCCTCTTTCTACTAGGATCATAGCTATGTCTTGCCTGCTTCTCCTACTGCTCTTAAGGCCAGACGCAATGAGGGCTTTAGCAAGATTGGAGAGTCTCGAGCGAGAGAGGACGAATGCCATGGCTAGAGAAAAGAGGGCAAAGACCACAGTGAGGAGTCTTATTGGGGGATTTGAGGTAAAGAACCTCATTAATGAGAACTCAAAGAGAGGCTTGATTTCTACTCAGGTAAGATGAAATATTAGCACTTTGAAATTCATGTACATCTTACTCTTAAACTCTTTATTAAACTCCTTTGTTATTATATGGAAGGGGAAGTATTAATTTTCTCATAACAAAATTACAGATCTTCAAATAGACTTGCAAGGGCAAAGCAGGGCCATGAGTACTCAAAGGCCCACAGAAGAGTTTGCACCTCACAACTCCATCTACATGGTGGCCAAAGGGCATACAAATACCTCAGAGAGAGACTAACAATCTCCCCTCCCTCATACCACATACATTACAAAGGTAGTCTTAATGTTGTTCAATTTCATTTTTGGAAATTACGGTTGCAAATACGTTAAATAGCTACTTCTCAATTTGTTTACAGGTGGCTGTGTTCTGGCCTGAACAAGATGATGCTGGATATGCTGGAGAGAAGATGCCAGGAAGACCAGGCTAAATATGGATGTGTTGCACTCATGTTGGATGCCATGGCCATCAGAAAACATGTGCAATATAATCCACATAACCAGTCAATGTCTGGTTTTGTAGACATGGGTGATGGAAACAATGAGACCGATGTTGCTACTGAGGCTCTTGTGTTCATGGTGGTTGGCCTACAAGGACATTGGAAGGCTCTCATTAGGCGCTTTCACACTGCGGTACTTTTCCCACAAAGGTTCATGCGAACTTAGTTCATAGAGGCGCTTTCACACTGCGGTACTTTTCCCACAAAGGTTCATGTGAACTTAGTTCATGTGAACTCTTTTATCGCGTTCACACCAAAAAGAGCCGGTACTAAAATTAGTTCATGTGAACCTTTTTACCCCCCTCGAAAGTCCCTGCTAGAGAGCAGGGACTTTCGAACGGCTCTTTTGTGAGAAAAGAGCTAAATTTCTGATTGGCTGGGCGGATTGCAAACCACGCCCCGTAAAAACTCCCAAAAAGTTTTGTGAAGCCGCCATTTTATTATCCTAGCATTATTAGCATTAGCATTAGCCCAGCGCAGAAACGCAGAGAGACTAACTTATGGCAACACAAAATAAAAACATGGGAGCGGTGGAGATGAGGAGGTGTCGGCGTTCTGGCGATTTACTCGGAAGGCTTCAGTAGAAGCTGCTGGGAGTCCCAGCAGCTTCTACGCCGTGAAGTGGTTTGCGGCCTGCCAGTAAGCCCAAAGCAAGAAGAAGAACAAGTGACGTCAGCGGCTTCATTTGCCTAATCCACCCCCAGGGACTTTTCCAGTGTGAACGCGATCTGTACTTAGTTCATGCGAACTAAAGAGTTCACATGAACCTTTGTGGGAAAAGTACCGCAGTGTGAAAGCGACGAACTCTTTAGTTCTCATCACAACGAATATTAGCCGCTTTTTAGCTTAGCGTGGTGATGCGCAGCCGTGCTACGGTGGTTGTAACGCAACATTAGCTCTTTACTTCTGCGGCAGAAGTAAAGAGCTAATGCTGCATTTACGCTTCAATGATCCTAGTGGTATAAATATGTGGAGATTATCCTGCTGAACAAAACCTGTTAAGTATCATAAACGGTTGTTTGCCACAGAGCTTATCTTCTGCAATATACTGAAATCCAATGCAAAAA